CCGAGCTACTTCCGTGGCGAAGGAGCTCGTTCAGTTAGCGATAGAAGTTGTCTTTACGAAATGATCGCTAGTTTTTAGTGCATAGGAAATGAAGACGTGTAGACACCAGTTAGTTCCGCGGGACTTCGAAGCTTTGAACGAGCCAGCCAATCGGACCGCACACATCAGGCTACTGCTTGTAATTCAGACAACCAGGCAGCTTCATCCCGGGGACTCAGGGAGCTACCAGCACCGGCTTCACCGATATTCAAAGCTGCATCGTCACCAGATAGGCGCAATGTGAAAGGGCTGCTGGTGTCATCTGAAGGGATCGCAAAGTGAGCACAGAGCGCAAGTCTCGCAGGGTTTCTCGGATAGATAGCGGATATCGCTAAAGAGGGGCCCTAATGTTCGGGAAAGTGCTGCCTGTTAACCGAGCTGTAGCAATATTCGTACATTGAAGCATACCAATCTAAAGGACGATCGACGACTCCAAATGAATGTCGATGAACTGGGCTTGGCCGCTTGGCTGGACATAGGCTTGTCGACAGAACAGGAGTGCGGCAACGCATTCACATATGAATTGAAACTAGAAGGTAAAAACCCAGCAAAGCAAGCTGGTGGGGGCCAAGAATTGGGGGCTTGAATAAAGGGCATAGAAGTGAAGTTGGAACGGGACGGTAAACGAGAAAAGCGTAAGTGAGGAATAAGAAGTTGGGACGGCTTGAGCAATAGCACCCAAACCCGTATTCACGCTGCTCGTTGCTGCAGATAGGACCCCGTTGATAATCCTCTGCGGTGGGCAGAGCATCAAGAAACTGTTTGAAGAGAAATTCATTGCATTGCATGGGCAGGTACCTGTCAGATTGCTCAGGCCAAGACAGGAGAACGGCTAGGGTTCTCGACCGAAGCCTTTAGTTCAAAAACCTGACCGTGAGGCAGCGGGTTGGCTACAAGGAGGCGTTTTAAGAAATAAGGAGCCACCTCCTTCCAGCCCCAACCTGGAGGACTAGGAGGCTGAGTTTGTCTGGCCGCTGACAATTGACCACTCTGGTAGGAGTGGCTCTATATGTGCAAAGAAAACACCACCCCGCATAGCTCAATGGATCGCTGAAGTACACAACCCATCGCACCACGGTAACTTCCAGCCTCATTGCGATGCATCGATAGGCCATATGTTTGTCCCACATATACTGCAGAGTATTTTCAAAGCATACGCATGCATCTATACCGTAATCAACTGGTGCACGTCACCTTCATAGCTTATTTGTTTCAAAGTAATGTGTAAAGTCCCCATGTAAATGGCCAGTTTCCATAGGGAACCAGTATGCTTAGGAATAATGTTTACGCCTCGCCGCTAGCCTTTGAATGAGGCTTATGCGATTGGTTGGGCGTAGCCAAATAATTAACCTATGATTTTCGTGTTCTAGCATTACTCTGCCATGGCGATAGCATAACACACCTGACAGTGGCTACTTTGGCACGCCCCTAACAGTAATGTATAAAGTATTGTAGCCGTCTTTCCTTGTCCGCCACTTTGCACTCAACATTCAACTCAAAATGTTTCACAAATCTTTATGACGTCACTATGTGTCCATGAAAACCAGTTAGTTCCACTCTGGGCAGTCTGGTTTCTGAAACCAGCGGACGCAGAGCTGATGCCAGAGCCATACTTGCGGCGCATTAGCACAGTCTAAGGACAATTTGAAATTACGCATACTGGTTAGGTATTTCGTGAACAATGCGGAGTAATTAGGGACAAAGAAGTCGCCTTTACGGGGATAGGCAGGTAGTTCAGATAATTCGATCTCGCCTTGCGTTACTTCATGCGACTTGTTTCGAATCAAGGAAGCCAAATCCCGTCTGGCCTGTAACATCCTTTTCTGTCGGCCAAGTTCCAGTTCTCTAGCTTAGACTTATAGGTTTTCTCTAAGCTGCATTTCCTTCAATTTAGCGAGCAAGAGTTGTGAGCACGATTTATTGCCTAATGTCATACTAATAACACAAAAGTCAGAAAAATAACACATCAAGAATTTCATCGAAATGTCCGGCTCCTGGGCTAAGACACATCATCGAGCAACTGTATCATTGTATCATTGTATGGTAGAGAGCAGAAGGAGAGTCCTTTATCAGCTCCGTCGCTTCCCAGTCATTGCGAACATTGCTGGGGTCATAGTGAAAATAGGGTTCCACAATGAACCATTAAAGCTAGGTTGTGAAGCAATATCCGGGCACAGTTATCAAGTGGGAATCCAACAATTTCTTGAAACTTTCCTCGGACTGCGCATCAACGACGAGCTCCGGCAAGCGATTCCAGTCATTAACCACGCGCGTGGATAGAGCTAGATTCGACCGCACATGGAGTCTCCTCGGTTTGAACAATTTCCATCCGTGACCACGTGTGGAACTTTCAGTGTTCAGATGAAAGAACTGCTGCAATTCGCTTCCAAGTTCTCCTCTTAGGATACGTCGAGTGTAGATCAAGTCGCCGCGACGACGACGGTAATCCAGAGAGAAAAGACGTAATCGCTGGAGGCGGAGAGGATAAGATAGGCACCGCAGTTCTGGCACATATTTAGATCCACGGCGCTGGACCTTCTCAATCATATCGCATTCCGTCTTCGTGAGAGGCTGGGCAGCTGGCAAGCCGTACTCGAGAATCGGGCGCACATGTGAGGCAAACAGGAGTCTGAAGAGTTCTGGAGTAAGGCGGGAGAATGCTCTTCGTAAGGCATGAAACATCCTGTAAGCAGCCGCGACTCTTTTCCGGGTGTCCTCAGTTGTTTTGAGGTAAGGAGACACAATTACTCCGAGGTCCCTTTCTTGGGCAACATTTCTCAGCAGGAAACCTCCAATATGATACACCCCGAATGGTTCACGACTACCAATCGGGAGTACGGAACATTTATCCCGGTTGATTGGTAACTGCCATTTTACCGACCAGTCGTGGAGCCTGTTGAGTGTTTCTTGGAGCCTGTCTGCATCCTCCAGACTGGATACTTCAATCCAAAGTTTCAGGTCATCGGCATAAATCAAACATTCCGTCTGCAGCTCGAACGGGAGGTCGTTAATAAAGACATTGAAGAGGACAGGGCCAAGGACAGAACCCTGTGGGACACCACTGGTCATAGGAAAAGGATCAGAAAGTGCATCATTCACCCTTACCTGCGCAGAGCGACCGTACAGGAAATCGGAAATCCAGGAGAGAAAATTCCCAGCAACGCCAATTCCGCGGAGTTTGGAAAGAAGCCGCTCATGCGGAACCTTGTCAAATGCCTTGCTAAAATCTACAAACACAACATCCAATCGTTTGCCGGCATCTAGTGATCTCACCCATTTCTCCCTTGCCACAAGCAAGTTTGTGATGCATGAGCGAGCGCTTCGAAAACCATGCTGGGCAGAAGAGATGAAATCTAACCTTTCGAGATGAAGGCATAGCGCGCGTTTTATTGTCCGTTCCATAATTTTGCAGACTACAGATGTCAAACAAACAGGACGATAATTCGCTGGATCTTGTCGGTTTCCTCCTTTATAAATGGGCTTGATGATGCCCGATTTCCAGGCTGCCGGAAGACGTCCAGTATCAAAAGACAGACGGAATATCTGACAGATAGGTGCGGTGATGTGTTCAGCTACAGTTTTAAGGAACAATGGATGTAGGCCATCAAGGCCAGGCGAAGAATACGGGTTTAAATTAAGAAACAGTTTCAGTACAAAATCAGCGTTAATATCCAAGTTCTCTAGCAAAGAAGGAAGAAATGACAAGAAGCTGTCAGGAGGAGACGTTTCAGTTGAATACACAGAGGAATATTGTTTAACTAAAAGACTGGCTTTTTGTGTGTCTTCGTGAACTAAAGCAGCATGCTCGCGGGAACACAAGGCAGGGATGCCACTGCCGGCTCTAGTACTACGCTTGATGTACGAGAAAAGCGCTTTGGGCGTGGTCCGGGAGAGAGTAGCTAAAGACAGTTCGTAGAGTTGACGTTTCTCCCGTTTCTGAAAAGTACAAGCATTCCTGATTGTTTTATAGCGAGAGTAATCGAGGTCTGATCGTGTTAGTTTAAAACGGTTCCACAGTTTACGCCTTTTGTTCATAAGGGATCTTAATTGGCGATCTATCCAAGGCGGGCCTTTAGAAAACGGTCTTCTCTTGGAGGCAGGGACGATCTGTTCGATGAGCGACATCAACTTGGAGTACAAAAGATTCCATGCATCATCGAGACTGAGATGCCCAGGGATACTCCAATCCACAACGCTTGCCGCCGTTTTCAAACGAAGTGCATCTACACGCCAGAAATTCCGCCGGTCGGCGCACTGGATGTGGACCGCGAAGCGACGAGTCCACTGAAAGGAAACAGCACAGTGATCACTTCTGCCAATGGGCTCGATAACGGCTACGTTTGTGATGTCTGATTGCGCTGAGGAAAGCACAAGGTCTAGGATGCGCGGTGTCTGATCTGGGAAAATACGAGTTGGCGTCATGACATGTTGAAAAAGGTTGCAATCCAGGACGGTTTCAAGTAAGGCGGCATCGAAATGGTCGGATGGGCGATTACAAAGAAGGAAATTCCAATCGATATCTGGTGCATTGAAATCACCTACGATAAGACAGTCCTTGCCTCCGCCGTGCGCCCTGATCGAGTCCAACAAACTAGCCCCGGAGCCGGATGGTGCCCTGTAGACGACACCAATCAAGGAAGATCTATATCCATCATGCACACGGCACCAGAGGGCTTCAAAATTGTTATCATGGTCACTGATAGCTTCAACCACATGCGCTTTGAGCTCCGCCTTCCAATAAAGCATTACGCCCCCACCAGACCTCCCGCCATGGCGATCGGACCTGGTGAGGTGATATCCAGGAATACACACTTCTGAGTCTGTGATTTCTGAAAATAACCATGTTTCAGTGAAGGCCATCAGGTCTGGATGAGTCTCTGAGGCAAGTAAATGGATCTCGTCTAGCTTATTCCTTAGACTTCGCACATTAGCGGATAACACGCGCAGTCCGTTCTTATAATTTACTGTCCAGGGGTGAGTAGGATGGGCCTCCAACGGGTTTTCGGAGTCCTCCGAACTACTCGAAAATCCACAATATGGAGGTCTGTTTCACCACTCCCCCGTCTAGTACGGAGTTCTTCTACAGCCTTTTTCATTTTGACTCGATCCTCCGGAGAGAGGTCACGAAGTACGTAGTATGGCTCACCTTTGAGACGCGAGGTCCTTCGCAGGATGCGTCGGCATTCCTCCGCATCCCGGCAAACGATTTTAAGTGGGCGATTTCTCGAGGTATCTTCTTGTTTCTTACCAAGACGAAAGGCAGATACAATATTGATCCCCTGTTCGCCTTCATCAAATAGCAACGAGATCATCCGCTCGAGCAGTGTTTGGTCATCGAGTATTCTTTCCGCAGAGGTTGTTTTTCCCGATTCCGCTGCGTTCATGATGATGAGACAACGGTCGCGAGATGGCTGGGTGCGCTCAGGAACTTGCGGCTTGCTAAGGGACGGATTTTCCTTGACTACTTTCTCAAGCTCGGATAATCTGTCCAGAACTAGCTTCATTTGAGACTGAGATGATAGCTTAGGTTTTGGTTTCTCGACGGGCTTAGGCCTAGTCTTGGCACCACTTGTAGTTGGGCTTTTGAAAATAGGAACTGAGATCACGCTTTCCTTCACAACTGCGGCATAAGACCTTGTTGAGGGCTCAATGGGCAGGACCTTTGTAGATGGATCCGACTGAGTAGTGGACGTCGTTCGGCTTCGCTTACCCATGGGGGTGATCCAACCGGAGTTAGATGGTGATGGTGAGCACGGTGGAGCAGGGGTATCGCGAATAGCATCAGGCTTCGTCGGAGAAGAAGAATCAAGGCTCAACGCAGATAATCCGGCGAGAAGACGCCTGCAGTTCAATGAAGCACGGCAGTTGTCACAAAAGAAGTTAACTGCTGGCGAGGTGAAACGCTGCAAGAGCACATATTGATCAGGACAGATGCCGCAGCAGGCAATGTGCATCCACCCATCACATTCAGAGCACTGCACTGCCTTCGAACGAGTAGTGACACCTTTACTACAGGACAAGCATTTGGACGCCATGAAAGATGAAGTCCAAATATTCACTGAATGATTCTCCAGAAACGATCTTTATTCTCTTTTCTCCGCCCAGATCTCAGTGGAACGTAACACTCAGGAGGACGTCGCTCTCACAGGTCCCTCTCCTGGCACTGCGTGGAAGACAGAAATTCCAAATATCATTATAACAACCGAACGCTAGCGTTGCAGTAAATCGAAAGGGCGGTCTCAAAGTAGTAAAGAACAAAGAATGGATCCCTAATCCACAGTGCTAGTTACACCGTAAAAGGCTGCGGTACAAACTTCAGTTGTTTGTCTAATGAGGTAGAAAACAACCAGTGCTTTGCTAGCGCCCGAAGGGATAAATTATAATGTTTGGGCACACATCGAGGCGAAGATAGTGCTTGTCAACGTGTAACCGTTGGTGTATCATCAGACACATAGTTGTAGATAGCGTACACGAAGGCAAGGGGCAAGGGTTGTTTTCATGGTTAAACAGGAATGCTCGGTGCACTTGATCGTCAAGGTCACTCAGTGGACACTGAGTTCAGGGTAATAATACTTAGGAACACGATGAAAGAACGTGCATACATACACGCACACAAGAAAAGCAAAGCAGCGAATCATTGCAAGTGCACGATGATCACAAAGTGAGAATGGCTCTTGTGGGTCAGATTTTTATACGTGGTGATAACATACAGACTGGTAATTTATATTGCCGTGATGTGTAGCTGCAGGATAAACGGCGCTTGTGTGTTAGGAGCGTTTCCGATATGAATGCAAATTCCGCTCCTTAGGTGCTTATAAATAAGCAGGGCAGGTCAGACGGACGATAGAGGCTTCCGCCTAACGAGCGTCCAGTTCTTATGCCGGTAAGTGAAACGGCCCCCGGCATTTAGACGTTGGATTGTCTTTCCTTGCTTCTGCAAAAGAATGAAGAAAGAACAGAAGCAATCTTTGCACTTTCATGCGTTAGAGTCAAAATACACTGTCTATTCCAGTACAACTACAATATTTTCGGAAAAGTGATAGTCCAACAATCATCTAAGCCCCTTTGAAAGCTTCTACAGTCTCAGCCTCCAATAAATCAGATGGAGGTTTGTTACAGAAGTTAGCTACTCCGTTCGTAAATAACTTTGCCTTGATATCCAAACGAACTCTATGACGTTTGAGCTTTAGGCGATGCCTGCGCAGATGGTTTGACATAGCCAACTCAAACAGATGGGTGGGACTAATATCACTAAGTCCCTTAATGATCTTAAACCTCTCTATCCACTACCCTCCCAATCTATAAATAAATAAATAAATGGTATATTCTCGGTAAAACGAGACACACCTCTAAAGGTGTGATCAAATATGCATAAAAGCATAGCTTCTTTGGAATGTAAAAATATTTCGTTTTAATGAAAGGAATGAACGAAAAGATGTAGTCCATACAAGTATGCATATTGTGAGGTAATAGTGAGACCAAGGAACATGATGGCGCTGTTGCGCGCAAAAATCAGTCACGATACAAGTTGCGGGTAATTTCGCTATGCAGTGATCCGTGAGCACAGGAGCCCAAACAAGGCTTTGGTGCAATCAATGACCAGTACGAAGTCGGGATGATCTGTGCTCCATCAAAGCATCCTTCATAGTAAAATCAGTTGCACAGGTTGGACGTAGAACGCTGAGGACTGCGTCAGTGTGAAGTGAATAGCGATGACTTTATTTTGTAGCGAGTCACCTCCGCCATGCTGCAGTGTTGTTAAGCGAACATTTGTGACGTTTTATAGGGAGAACGCTGGCCTGGCAAAAACCCACCATGTCCTGGAGCACTGCCGTAGCTTCCGTTGAACAGTAGTGCTAGTCATCCTTGCAACGTATAGACTGATTTTGCACTATATTATTCGCAGTCGGTTGACAGCCAAAATTCTTCCTTGGTTGGCCGAATGGCTTTGTAATGATCCGGCAGCAGTCGTTGGAGTCGGTCAATGAGGCAAAAGAGTCGAAGTGCCGAAGAATAATTGATGCAGGTAAATAAACACTTTGTTAATAGAGGCTGGCGCTTCTATTATATTCTTGTTCGGCTCGCAAACCGTGTCCAGCTATCTACGCTGGACTTGTCATGGGGACGGTGAGTGCAGCGATTTTTGTGACTGAGTATGTCCATAGCAGGCAAAAATGCCATTCTCTGCAAAGTGGATTGGGAATTCCTTTAAACATAAGTGTGGTTGTCTCCATGGCCAAGTGAAAACTCCATGGGAGGCCAGCGGAAAAGCCACGTATACGAGCGCAACGCTGTCCGTGAAATGTCATCAGAATAGCACCAGGTGGCTGGCGAATAGGAATGTTTGAGGCATTGAAGTGAATCACGCCAGAATTGGTTGTCTTCGGTTGTGGAACAGGGGATCCATGTATTCCAGGTTAGTAGATTGTTCTACTCTGAGTACGAGGCGAGCTAAACCCATTTGTTTAGACGCCATGAAGATATCGTCACAAGAATGACGAAAAGAGCTCCATATGGAACGGTGTGTGGATTCTTCATCGTCGGAGAAAGACCAAGCGTTTAAAATAGCTGGCTATTTAGAGTGGGTCGACCAGTCCCAGTGGATATACCTACTTCTACGCCGTTTCAGGGACAATAATCCAAAGCTACTTAGACGATCTTCGTACGACTTCCTTTGTTGACCCTCCATCATCCTGATCGCAAGTTCCTGAATTTTCTCTGTACAAACGACGTCACTCCGGAGGTGCGATGCCCAGGCCTGAACACAGTACTCCAGATGTGGCCTAACCACTGTTTATATAACGGCGACAATGCTTCCGCTTTAGTGTTACTTAGCGCCCTCCTAAGACGAACTAACTCTTGTCGCGCTTTATTTGCAGCATGGCGACGCAGTGCTGAAGGCTTAAAATTGTTCACTATGATGACACCTAGATCGCGGGCTTCATCGATACACCGCCATGATAGAGATCCCGAAGGAGACTAAACAACAATTCCGCTACCACTATTGGTCAATATTTGACAGTTATTGACAGTTAGAGGTAGATTCCATTGGCTCGACCAATTCACCACATTGATGATGTGCTTAGCCACCGTTGCTCGGTTTCCCCTACTGACTAGCTTCAAGTCATCTGCAAAGATGTAGCAGGGATCCTCAAGAAGAGGAGCCGGGCCATTTATAAACAGAAGAAACAACAATGGACCCAGTGCGGAACCTTGGGGGACACCGCTGTAGGCATGGCCAATACTAGGACTCGCTTCCCAACCCTGACTCTAAATGTCCTTCCACGTAAAAATTCAGAGCCATAGTAATATTTGAGAATGCAATCCAAACCATGTCAGCATCTCAATTAAAAATAGATGAGCCGCTGAGTCAAAGGCATTACTGAAGTCCAAAGAGTACAACTCTACCGACATCCCACTATCAAGACATCGGGTAATCTCGTCTAAAAAACAATAACTTGGTAACACAAGACTTCTTTTTAAGAAAGCCATGCTGTTGCGCTCTAATTAGATTGTGCTCAGCCAAGTACTCACATATCCTGTCCCTTATAAGCTTTTACAAGCACTTCAGCATGATGCTGGTCAAACTAACAGTCGATAGTTAAGAGGCACCGACTTAGAACCCGTTGTGGATGGCAACAGTAGTCGCTCCTTCCAAACACGTGGCAGCTTACCTCCTTAAAGAGACTGGTTAATTAACTCCGCTACATGATACAGAAGGATGTCAGCCAGTGGCTTAACTATGGCGGTAGTACACTATCAGGACCAGCTGATTAATAAGGTTTCAAACGGGCCAGCACTGTGAAGACCTCTGGCACATTGAGAATAATTTCCCGCATTGCGTAGCTAGTTGAGCAGTGCGGCTGTGATGGCTAGCCTGACCCATTATCCTTCCGACGTAGATTATGGTAGACACGTAGCAGCACTTCCACTTTAGCAGCGTCGTCTACAGCCTGGGTACCGTCCTCCATGTATAGGCAGCCGACCACCTCGCTTAGCGAAGCATTTGATTGGACGTAACTGCAATAACACCTGAGATTAGTTTTCGCAAATTTGGCCAACCTAAGCTCATATGAGTACTTCGCCAGCCGCTGCAACTTAATAGCTATGTTTCGACACCTTTTGTATTGCAGCCAACGTCGGAAGCCTGAGTTTCTTGCTATTTACTTCACTCAGCGTTGCTCCTCTTTATCGCTCTATCAATTTTTCTCCTCCAGCTTCGGTGTTTCCCAAGATATCTCCCCGGGGCGTGAAGGAGCAAATTAATTTAGCAACTGTACAGGTTCACTTTTGAGTAGAAGTCACCTCTGTTCCAACGTGGCCTTGTCCTGTTTAGGAATCCAAGTGATCTGAAGGGATGGATCCCGCAGCTTCGTAAAATCAATACGACTTAAATTCTTTCCCATTCGACGGTTCTCTGCGAGCCTCAGTGTGGCTATTGGAAAGGTCAAAACACAATGATCACTCTTACCTATAGGTGGCTCCACACATAAGTCAATCAACTGACCATGTCTGGCGATCACGATATCCAGGATTGAAGGCGTACTCCCAGTACGACTCCTAGTCGGAACATTGACGTATTGCTCGAACGCAGTCACATGCATCCAATCTACTAGTTTCTTCTATAGAGTACTGACCCTGCTCTGAGCAAGCTGCTAATCGGTAAGAGGAAGGTTTAGGTCACCGATGATCAGAAAATTAGGTGTGGCCAATACCGCCTGTCTTGGTAACGTACCAAGCTCCCTGTCCTCCTCCCGCGTGGAGGATGGGCTAGGATAAACACATACCATAATCTCCAGTCTACCCCATGCTCTTAGATAGCGGGATATCACCTGAATGTTAGCAGAACTCATAGTAAATTGAGCCTCCCAGTGTTTAAATTGACACATTATATGTAACAGTACTCCGCCACCAGTCAGCTACCCGGGCCTGTCGGCACTGTAGCACGCAAAGTCTATAAGCAAATCACCAATAAGGTCATCCGGAGGAAGGCAGGACTCCGACACAGCGGCTCACAACGCGTCACTAACTTCCC